GCAGGAATGATCACTTGTTTTTGGGGGGGGCTTTAGAGCTTTTAGCCTTGTTCCCTGCTTGATTTTGTATGGTGTGTTTGCCCTGCTAGGTAGTAGGTTCTCTAGACAAGTTCTCCTCATTTAGAGGGATAATTTGTTGGGTAGAATTCTTCCTTCTTGGAGATCCATGCATTTGGCATATATTTCTCTTTTTGGAGCTTGCTCCAGGTAGCAGTATGGGGCTGTTGCTCCCTAGTTTCTTCTTTGCAGGTCTACCTCTGCATTTTTGTGCCTCAGCTGTTGGCTGCCTTTCAACCTCTAGTCGAGGGAGATCTTGGGATAGCTCAGTCTCCACAAGGTTCTCAGACTTTTTTTTTTGCCTGGTAAGACGCTTCAGTTGCTTCTCTTATGTATGTTGCAGTATTTTCCATAAGATCTCTAGTTTCTCCCTCAATGACTCTGCTTCTCCTTGCTGCACTCTCTGCAGGATCTGGGCAATGGATGTAGCGGGCAGTGACATCCCTGAGATCCTCCATTATTTCCTCTCTACTGGGAATAGGTGGAATAGGTGGAGGAAAACTCTCCTTATCCAGATTCCTTTCTAAGGGGGGCATTCTGCTGCGAAGGGATTCAGTAGAATCAAGGTTCCTGTTTTGTGTTGGCATGTCTTTTTCACACCATTGGAGTTGGGGTTGCCTAGCTGCTGAAGAGATTTCCTTAGAATTCTACTGTTGCCTCAGGTCATGTCTCACATCTTTTGAGAAGTTTTCATTACTCCTTTCTCTTCTATAAGAATGAGAGTCGGTGGGGATCCTCTCTCTCTGGTAGTGGTACTGATTAGTTGATGCTTTTGAGTTTAGAGGATTTCGCTCATCCTGTCTTCTTGTTTGTGTCCTGTTGTAGGATGCTCTTTCTCCATATAGACGGCCATGTCTGTCTCGCCTTTGAGTAAAGGTCTTATCCGCTTGAGGGGAGTTGTGCCTGTCTTTCCTATAGGTGAGAGACCTCTCAGCTCCAGGTGAGTTGAGATGTATTTGGCTAGATCTGCCCTGCAGGGAGGAATCCCTTCTGCCATTTGTTGGTGAATCTTTCTTTCTCTGGTGGCTGGTGAGTTCCTTCTTTACTGGGCAGTCTTTCTCTTCGTGAGAGATTTGGTTGCACCTACTGCAGTGTTTACCCAGTTTCTCATATTCTAGACTAACTAGGTATTCTATTCCTTTTGAG